AAAACTTCAAAAACGAGAAATACTTTGGGTTTCTTTTATTTATTTATAGCCTGGAAAACATGGCATAGAATGAGAAATCACAAGTATCCTACTCGTAAAATATTCATACGAGTGGTGGCATATGAGTGAATAATTAATGCACTTACTGTAATATTATCCACCTGACTCAATATTTAATATACAGGTGCAAATCCGTGGTATCAAAAGATCTAGATTTTAGATATTAAGGCAGTCCATCAAAGCCGCAATGTAAGTACATTATCCAGCGTGAGATAATACCCTGGGTTTTCATTTTTAACTGTGTATTGACATTATGTCAAATAGCTAAGAATTAAAATCTAAAGCACAAACAAAAATCATTTTGCTATGATCCTTAATCAAAAAGTTTCTTATGTGAGTCTTATGAGTCAGACTCAAGGCAGGTCTTTTGGGTAAAGTGAGATGAGAAAGAATTCTAGTAATAATGTTTTGTATTTTGCAACAGTATTCAGTATACTCCAGTAACAAAGATAGCATTCTCTAGAGCAGTAAGGATTAATGTTCACATATTGTCACTGCATCTCTTGTTCGGTGCATTCCGGCATGGCTTGTGCGCATCCCGGAGAAGTCGCACTTGGTCTCATATCCTCTGGCTGCATGGTGCTCCGGTGTTCTGAATGATGCTGAAAGTCTTTTCTCCGATTCTTGACACCAATATGTGTACGTTGAATTTCAGATATAGCGCACACACTTTCGAATGTCACTTGACAGCCGAGAACCTATCCAAGTCCACTTAGTTCTATTTAAGCTTATTTGAATAGTGCTCTATCCTCATTTCCTTTGTGGTTATCCAAGAGGGTGTTATAGTGATAGATTCTATTGTATTTTGACTCTGGCTTGTACCTTGACCATTCTTCCTTCTGTGCTCCTTGATTCTGACTTTGGTCACCATTTAAAATTAAATCCAGCCATTCTAATATCCAGTAATACGCTTTAATGTTCTGGTTATATGTTATTTTGTTAAAGGGTCACTATAGGGTCAGGAACACAAACATTGACCAATTATTCCTGACCATATAGTGCTAAACCCACCATTTAGGTGGCTTGCCCTCCCTTAGCCCCCCTACAAAAGTTTAAAACTCACCTTAATTCCAGCGACACACGGGTCAGCCGGCGCTGGCTCTGCCCCCTTTGTGACATCATCAAAATGGCAGATTTTTAACCAATCCAATTCTTTCCCATAGGGAAAATTCATCATCTTCATGCAGAGCGTGGGGACGCTGAAGGGCAGGGCTGCTTACTGTGCAGCCCTGAGCCAGGAAGCACCTCCAGTGGCCATCTAAGGGACAATGTAAACACTGCCTTTTCTCTGAAGGGAGCTATTATACTCACCAGAACAACTACATTAAGCTGTAGTTGTTCTGGTGACTATAGTGTCCCTTTAACTCAAGTTCTGTGTCTAGGGTATTAGTTAAAGGTACACTCCACTGCCCAAATACAAAATAAATAAAAATCACTGTTTGGTAGATATACCCCAATTTAAAACTTCCATATATTTAATTATACATTTTTTCCTTGGGGGTATAGCTAAAAACAGCTTGCAAAAGGTCCAGATCTCTTGTCTGCTGCCTTTGTAAGCCCTCCCCTTCTAGCCCCGCCCAGACTTTCTGTGGCTGTCCAATTACAAACTTCCCAATGCAGCTCAATGAGAAGCCTTTACAAGGCAGTTGCTCTGAGCAATTGCTGCCTTTTTATATTAACTCCACTGAGCAAAACATCCAGGAAGTAATAGGACTGGTAATCTGACTAAAACCCAGGGGCGTGTACCCATTATAATTTATAAAAGTGTCAATTTCAATTAAAATCTGCACTTTTTTGTTAAATGGAAAAAAAAGGACACACTCTTTACTTATAAAGCTTTTCAGCAAGCTAAAGAGCTTTAGGAATCTGGAGTGCCCCTTTAAATCCTGACATATATGTTTTCTGTTGATCTTTTCATCAATTTCCTTTTCAGCATAGGTCACTGGATGACCAAGACTAGCGCTAGCCAAATTTGTAATGCAATGACATGTATATACATGAGAAAGGTGATGTGGCAGTGTTGAAGCTTGCAATGCGAGGCATTTTTCAGGCACTTAAAGTATGAAAAGTCCCATACTGAATTGAGCAAAACCATCCAACTGCATGCACTGCCATTTGGATTGGAAAATTCAGACATTGTTCACACTTTTTAACAGGGTCTGGATTTTGCAAAACAGGCTCCAAATGAGCTGTAATTTGGTTTGGACTTCAGCCAATGGTGGAAGTACCGCGGTCGCAGGGGTTGGAAGCTGCTACCGGCCCATCACTCGAGGGGGTCCGGCTGCCTTGCGGACCCCTGCGACTTCGGTGCCCGCCAACAAAATAAAGCGGCCCGGCCCGTGCGGTAGAACCACCGGGGCCGCAATGAAAGGGCCCATCGGGTGTCCCATGCTGGTAGGGCCACCTGATGGCAATGAATATGCAGGGTATATCCAATGTAATAAAAAACTAGCAACTGGGCAGCCATTGTTGCCCAGTCCCTAGAAAGGTCCTATCACCAGGGGAAGGGGCCAGGATGTATCTAGTACCCCTCGTGTCCCCAACCATGGGCATCAGTTAAGGGACTTTAAATTTACTGTGTGGTCAGTTGGTGGAGACAATTAAATAAAAAAAACTAAACAAAACAGGTTGGGGCATTCTTGAGAATTCACATTTTATTGATTAATCCTGCATATTTTGTAGAGCGGTTGCCAGCAGTATTTACCTTATATTTCACTGAGGTTCTTTAGTGTCAAACATGCAAACATTCCATTTATAAATAATTCATTGGGCTTGGGCTCATTAATCAGGGACATTGTATAAATCAATAATGAAAGGTGAGCACAATTAAAAGGATCAAGCCTTCCCTATAAATCAATCAGACTTATTTTTAATTCAGGATCTTCAATGATTTTACACACTCAAAAAAAAAATCTGACTTGGCCACCAGAATATATTTATGACAGTGTTGGCAACAGACCTTGGTGAGATTTAAAAGTTTTCATTAGCACAGTTTTTTTCTGGCTTACTAAGTGTTAATGCTTTGGTTTTACCGAGTTAACTTCATATAGTAGAAGGTTAAGGGTTAATATGGCAAATTCTATCTTGTGACAACCTATTCTGCGGAGTACTAAATAGTGTTTGATAGAACCAACTTCAAAGGAAAGACACATTTAACAAACTAGTTTATTCATTTTTTGTTTCTATATAAGTATGTTTTAGGATGCTTATTTTGACATTGCCAGGTAATATTAAAATCAGAGGGTAAGGGCAATGAATATTGACTTCTAAGTCGCTTGTCTTACCTGTGAGACAAGCTCTGCTTTGTAAATATCTCTTTCCTTTGGGAATTAAACTGGCATTGTAAGGACCATAACCACTACAGCTCATTGTTGAGGTTATGGTGCTATAAGTATATATTCTCTGTCCCACAGTTTTCCACCAAATCATTTTGGAGGGGTTTAACAGACACCAGGGGTTCCTCTGGCACCCAGGGCCTGCCCCTTCTTTAGCTACACTGATTCTAGAACTAGTGATGTCGCGAACTTTTCGCGAACGGTTCGCCGCGGTTCGCCACGAACCGTTCGCCACGGACTCCAGTCAGCAGACACATCCCGGCCAATCTGCAGCAGACTCTCCCTCCCAGACCCTCCCACCTCCTGGACAGCATCCATTTTGAAGGCAGCTTCAAAATGGATGCTGTCCATGAGGTGGGAGGGTCGCCACGAACCGTTCGCCGCGGACTCCAGTCAGCAGACACATCCCGGCCAATCTGCAGCAGACTCTCCCTCCCAGACCCTCCCACCTCCTGGACAGCATCCATTTTGAAGACAGCTTCAAAATGGATGCTGTCCATGAGGTGGGAGGGTCTGGGAGGGAGGGTCTGCTGCAGATTGGCCGGGATGTGTCTGCTGACTGGAGTCCGTGGCGAACGGTTCGTGGCGAACCACGGTGAACCGTTCGCGAACCGTTCGCGAAAAGTTTGCGACATCACTATCTAGATCCTACACTTCTGAATTACGACATGCGATTCTGTCCAACCTGGAATGCAGTGAGAGACCACTCTTAAACATGTATTTGTGGTTGAGGATTAAGGCCTTAATAAAGCAAAGTCGGTTGTGGTGTGCCGACGTTCGGGTAGGCCTGTAAATAAAGAGAGCACTCCAGGGTATTAATCATAGAAAGGGGAGTGTAGTGGATGGGCTGAATCGATCAGCAACGGTCCCAATGAGGCGGTTGCCTGAGTATTTAAAGCCGGGTACGCCCTTCCTCAACTACAGGCAATTAGCCTTAATCTATATGCATTGAGAGCTGCAATATCCGTAAGATGTAAGCACTACAAGGGCATCCTGTCTGGTGTCTCAATGATCTTTTTAACGTCTTGTGTTTATGAAACGTTTGATGTGTTCTTCACAGTATTGCGTCATTTGCAGTGTTCTCTAAAATTCGAGTTACCCACTGGCTTTCTGCCCAAATTTCTGTTGCCCTGTTATATGGGTCTCTAGATGAGACACAGCAGCATGCTGTTCCATTCATTGTTCGTGTTAATAGCACTCAGACTGTGCCAGTGGTGGCAGATATTATTACACAGCTGGTGTGCCTCTGTTTAAAATGTCACTATGATTCACTGGTATTGTATTTGTTTCTTGAGTGTTGCTGTGCAAGTTTAGATTCTGATATTGTGTTCCTATTTTGATATTGTACGACCCAGGTTCTAGATTGCAATTTTCCTTTGCTACTTTGGCTAGTCCACTCACTTCACTTGTTGATTTGCTGCCTACAACAACCTTTTGACTTGTGTCTGATGTTCCTAACATTTCTTCTCTTGACTTAGGTCTATTAAGTAGTGTGATTTTGTACTGCTTAAAGAGACACTATAGGCACCCAGATCACTTCAGCTCATTGAAGTGCCCCAGGCCCCTTAACCCTGTAATTGTAATTATTGCAGTTTCCGATAAACTGCAATAATTGCCTTGTAGGTTTAACTCCACCTCTAGTCTACCAGACAGCCACTTGAGTGACTTCCAGTTTTTAAGGAGACTTTTGGATGCCTAACTGACAATGGACATCCTCACACAACGCATGAGGACATCCACCATCCCCCAAAATCCCATGCAAAGCTTTACTATGGGAGAAGTTCTAATTCAAGCGCAAGTGCACTGTCAGCTGATGTCAGCAGAGGAGGAGTTTAAGCGGAGCCTAAACCAGCACTGAGGGACATCGGTGCTGGGATCAGGTAAGTGATATAGGGGTTTTTAACCCGTTCAACACAAATAAAGTGGGTGGGGCCTGATGGAAGGAGTACTATAAGGAGGTATAGTGCTAGGAAACCAACGTTGTTTTCCTAGCACTATGGTTACCCTTTAACATTATTCACATGAAACCCGAATATCTTATTTCCGTACACACTGCTATTTTTATATTTAGGTTCTCTCTTTTCCTGACTATTCCTGAAGCCCACCTACATATGTAAGTAATGCCATTTACAATGAGAAAACACTAACTATGCATCAAGAAACGTTTAGTTGACCCTAGATTAAATGCCTCCAGATATTTGTACCCAATTAGTCTTTTGATACAAAACTGCTCATTTATTAAAGACAGGAAAGAGCTCTTAGCTATCCATGCTCTGTGTGCCATTACATTTGATCAAGTATGTTTGGATCATTATATTGACATTTTTATATATTCCATGTTATATTGAGATCAAATGGAGGTTGTTTAATCCGAATGATTTAGAAAACCACTTTAACTGGAACACCCTAACCATTAAAGGCAGGTTCGGCCTCGGGAAAATATCTAATGCTTGGGATCTTAATACTGTGTGTAATAAGGTTATAACACATGAGCAATTATTGGGTAAGTTATATTTTACAGGTCATCATGTCTGGACGAAAAAGCACCCCTGGGGTAATGCCATTTTCCATTTCCCAAAGGTCCAAGCAGCAATAATTTGATTTAACAATTTATTATTTATTCGCTGGATTTCAAAGAACTGTATTAGGCATACATTTAATAATATAATTTCACAAAAATCAGTTTTCATATTCTTCAAGTGATGCATTTAATGCAATTCAATTAATATTATTGTGTGGTATTGTTCAAATAACTGATAAGTGCATCTCTCCACAACTATGCAAGTAGGGTACAGCTAAAAATAATGATAAAAGCTTTAGCTAAATAATTAATAAGCAGTTACAAACCCTGTATCCCAAAGATTAGGATATAACTACTTCTACTAATGGACAACAGTGAAACATTGGCATTCTATGTCAACCAGGGTACGAGGAGTGGAGAGATGCACATCAGAATTCTGAATTAATCTGACCCGACAAAAATCAGAAAATGACATGATTTAAAGGGACACTCCAGATCCGAACACAATATTTACATGGTTAATAGAGTTTAACTTAAATAATCAATAGCCTGTTTTTTTTTTTTAATGCTATCATTAAAAAAAATGTTTCACAGCATTCCGCATCTGAATCCTGTCCCCACAGCCCTTCCCCCCATTCCAAAATACTTATTCTTGCTGGTTTATTCAGCTTCAGTAAGATGGTTGTCCATTTCACCAAGAAGCAAAGCAACAATTTCTGTGACTTGTAGTGTAACTCAGCGGTTCCCGAACTTTTGAGCTTTAAGGCGCCCTCAATATTTCAAATTTTTTCCAAGGCGCCCCAGTCAAACTTTCTAGGTTGTATATCTGTACAGCGCTGCGGCATTTACTGGCGCTATAGTGTAATGTATAGTATTGGCGTGTGCTTGTATATAGTTTTTGTGTTTTAATACACAGATGTGTTTGTATGCAATGTATGCAATGTTTGTTGAGAATAGCCAGAAAAAGTAAATAAACAGAGAAGAGCCAATAAGCTAGTTAACTAGAAAACAGCAGAGCAGGGCATGCAAGTATATAGCTGCATCTATGTATGTATATAAATTGACCAAATAAAGGTGAAACGAGAATTTTGAAAAATAATTTTATAAGACATTAAGATGTGTTTATTAACAGTTTTGGTAATGTGTGAGAAAGCCAGAATCTACATTCAGTCCTTCATTTCAGGTGTTGAAATGTGTGATCATTTTCATCTCAAATGTCTTGCGTTCATGAGAGTCTTTGAAATTCCCTTTAAGAACTTTTGTCTTGAGGTTTTGGATGAAGTGACCAGTCTGGGTGAAGTGATGACCAACCTTGTGGTTCTTGATTGAGTGTCTGTGTAGGTCAAGCATGTCAAACTCAAAGGCTAGCACGGGCCACATAAACAAGGTAAATCCCCCTAAATCCCGCCACTTCGTTTAAAAAACAAAACAAACAAAAAAAACAATATTAGCCAACAAGCAGACTCCACTCACCTTGCCGCTGCCACTATGCAAATCCGCAGTCCAGCCTCTGGTATACCCACAATGGCGTGGTCTGCACCGTGTGCCAAAGCAGATCCTCTACTTCTTGAAAAGCTGTGAAGGTGGAGAACATTAGCGTCATGTCGGAATGTGACGTGGCATTGTGTGCCTCCCTGCAACTCCAGGTCCTCCACTGTCCAGCCACGGCCATCGCAACACTGACCTACACACACTGACAGACACACACTCACACTGACAGGCACACACACTCTCTCTGACTGATGCAGACACTCTCTGACAGACAGACACACACACACTCTCTGACAGACACACACACACTCTGACAGACACACACACACTCTCAGACAGACACACACACATTTTCTGATAGACAGACACACATTCTCTGACAGACAGACAGACACACACACACACACACACTCTGACAGACACACACATTCTCAGACAGTCAGACACACACACACACACACACACACACACATTCTCTGACAGACACACACACACACACACACTCTAACAGACTCACACACACTTTCTGACAAACACACACTGATAGGCACACTCACTGACAGAAACACTCACTGACAGAAACACTCACTGACAGACACACACTCACTGACAGACACACACAAACTGACAGAGACACACAGACACTTCCACATTCTTGCACACACTAACATCATTTTATTTACTGCACCCTACCTTTGGGAGCTGGTGTTGGGCCTCTTCTCTCGAGGGCTCAGTCTTCCTGCTCCCCAGCGCAGTTTAGTGATGCCGGGTGCCGGAATGCTGTCATATTCCAGCACCCGGCATCACTACAGAGGTCGCGTGCAAGGGAGCAGTGAGGAGCAGGAAGAACATACTGAGCTCCCTCGCTGCCGCCAGGGACCTCTCCTCCGGCCGGTACCAGGTAAATTTGAGCAGAGTAGGCACCTGCAATGTAAGGAGAGCAGATGCCTACTCAGCCTTAGTAATCATGGCAAACTTGCGACTTGCTGGCCTGCAAATATATTCATTGTGGGCCAAACCAGGAAGAGTCTCAGGCAGCTATAATGCTCACATCTATAACACTGCTGAGGTTTTAGGGAGGTGTAAATCGGTAAATCGGTTATCAACTGAACTAGAATACCCCGAAACCTGCGCCATGGCATAATGTACAGGGAAAATATACAATATATACAAAAAACGGTAGGCTTATGGGGTTACCTACATTAACTTAATAATAACTTGGAAACAATATATATATATGCCATGGCATAGGTTTCGGGGTATTCTAGTTCAGCTGATAACCGATTTACCGATTTACACCTGAGCATTATAGCTGCCTGAGGTTTGGGAAGAGCTCACTGCAGAAGAAACCAACAACATATAGCCATGGTGATAAAGAGTTTTAATATATGGAAAACAACAACGTGGCCAGTGCACTTTAAATTGTATGCAAAAAGTGTTATATTTAGCAGAACACATGGAATACACTTAAACAAGAGCCAATATTTTTTTCTTGAGCTGCTCAGCTGT